AAAAAAAATACAGTAAAGGTGGGTAGGAATATTCACTTCACTCCTAGAATATTTAAAATCTGTTCAAAATCTTGTCCCTAAAGGAAAAATTTGATTTCACTTGAGACTTTGAGTGAAACAGAATCTAAGTATTCTAACTGAAATATTCATTTAACTTAAAAGCATAATTAAAAACAATAGCTTTATAATTTAAGGACCAGTGTCCCCGATGTAATTTTACTTTATGGACATCAACTGCTACTATTCCTTGAGATAGTTTTTAGAAAACAGTGGCCTCCTTTTTTTTTTTTTTTAACTTAAGATTTTTTTTCATTTGAAAAGCTGAGAGAGGGAGCAAGCATGACAGCAAGCATGTGACAGGTCAGGAACTCCATCTGGGTCTCCCATGTGGGAAGCAGGGGCCAACTACTTGGGCCATCTTCAACTGCCTTCCCAGGTTCATTAGCAGGGAGCTGGATTAGCAGTAGAGTGGCTGGGACTCAAATTAGCGGCTTAATCCACTCTGCCACAATGTTGGCTCTCAACAGTGGCTTGTTAAGATAGTATATTTGTAGGGAAGGTTTAAAAATAATAATATGCATGGCAATTTAGGGAAATTATATACATATTGTTCATTACCCTTTTGTCAGGCAAATAATTAGACAAAAGTGACTGCAAAGGGGCCACAAGATCCTCCAACAGGGAAACCAAGGACCCTGCTCTTTCCCAGGACACATGCAAGACTACCCACTTTAAGCTTTAATTTATTGTTAAGATATCCTGACAAAATGGGAGCTTAGCTAAACCAGAAAAGTCTAGGTTACAGCCATGGGCACAGACAGCCCTGAGCTATGCAACCCCACATGTCAATCACAAATGCCAACCATGAGTGTCATGGTCACATCACCAGTCAATATCCCTCATACTTTACAGATAAAAGACACAAATCAGGAAGAAAGGGTGTCACATGCTCTCTCAACTTGCGCATTCCTCTCTTGGAAGTACTCTAACAAAACGCTGCCTCATTATCACTAGTATTCATCACTCTGTCAGTACAAAAAGAAGGGAGGCAAGCTGGCTGTTGGCATTTTTAACTATAATTATTAATACATACATTTAAAAATAGATTTCTAGGGCCTGTGCTGTGGTTAAACATCTGCCTGTGGTGCCAGCATCGCATGTGGGTGCTGGTTCAAGTCCCAGCTGCTCCACTTATGATCTGGCTCCCTGTTGATGGCCTGGGAAAGCAGTAGAAGATGGCCCAACTGCTTGGGCCCCTGCACCCATGTGGGAGATCCAGAAGTAGCTCATGGCTCCTGGCTTTGGATCAGCCCAGCTCCAGCAGTTGCAGCCAGTTGGTGTGCGAATCAGTGGATAGAAGATCTCTCTCTCTCTTTCTCGCTCTGCTTGTAACTCTGCTTCTCAAGTAAGTAAATAAATCTCTAAAAAATAATTTCTGTGATATGATATTCTAAAGTCTTCACATTGGTCACCCAGTTGCCAACATAATTTCATACATTATCCCATTTGCTTCTGAAGTAAGCCATAAGGATAGATATTACTCACCCTATTATTCTTTTATTTGTTAGACATTTTTTTTTTTTTTAATTTTTCAGATCATTTACTTGAAAGTCAGAGTTAGACAGAGAGAGGACAGGCAAGAGAGAGAGAGAGGTTCTCCATATACTGGTTCACTCCCCAGTTGACCACAATGGCTGGAGCTGTGCTGATCTGAAGGCAGGAGCCAGGAGCTTCTTCCAGGTCTCCCACAATGGGTGCAGGGGCCCAAGGACTTGGGACATCCTCTACTGCTTTCTCAGGCCATAGCAGAGAATTGGATTGGAAGTGGAGTAGCCGAGACTCAAACTGGTGTCCACATGGCATGCTGGCATTGCAGGCAGTGGCCTTATTTGCTATGCCACAGCACTGGCCCCTTGTTAGAAAAGTTGTACAAAATCTTCAGCTACCTAAGACCAGAAAGCTTCTCAAGGTGAAATCACAAGCTTTGGCCTCATTTGGCATTCCTGAGACACTTCCGTGCCAGGGGGAATCTCAAGTCCCATCTCTTCAGCTTATCCTCCTCTTGGGTACTCCACTTTCCCACCTTCATTTCTCTACCTTCTTGCTTCATGAAACAATTTGTTAATACGGGTAGTTTTTCATCTGAGGTAACTCTGATATTAAAGATGGGAATGATATGAGGAGTCCTGAAGAATTAACTGTTAGTACTGGAGAGAAAAGATTCATTATGATTTATGGCTAGGGCATAGAAATATTGTTATTACATCACACATACACACAGTGACAGAGAATGGAGTTTTACTTATTAATTTTATTTTATTTATTATTTATACAAATAAGTTATGCTGTGTTAAATAAAACTGTAAAGAAGCGCTTTTTAAAGAGCTTCCTTGGTAAGTCAGAAATTGAGCTGGTTACATTAAACAATGTGGGGTAAAGCATCACTGCGTCATGGTAGGGATTTGGCTGTACTTCCATTAGGAGGAGTTATAAGGCTAAATTTTACGTGCTACCATAGCAAATTCTACTTCTAATTTTATTTTAATTTTTTGAATACTCAAGTGTTTATTTTTCAAAAATGTGGGAACGGCATGCAAGGTCCAGGTCCAACGTTACTTTGAGAAACAGGAAGAAATGTATGACTAGCAGCTAAGTGGTTACTCTTCAATTCTGGGGCTTTGAGGAAACAGAAGGATGATCAAGATGATCCTAACCTTATATTATGCACGGCGGAGGGCCAACTTTCGAAAAATGTCTCCAAAGGACTGAGGGATACAGTTAGCTTGAAGAAATGATCCTCTAAAAAAAAGACTTAATGACCTTCAGGCTTTAGAAAATCTCTGATTGGATTTGATCTGTTTACTCTTGGACAAATAGCACTGTGTAGTAAAAAGGGTGGCCTTGGGAGTCAGACTGCTTCAAACCAGTGCTTCATTACTTTATACATGAGAATCTCCATGAAAATTATTGACTTTCTCGGTTTCAGTTTCCTTATCTGTAACACAGATAAGGATCTTTAAAAGACAGAAGAGTAGTACAGTCAAGTGAGAAAATTAAATGAAAACATCAATTACAATATCAGTCTCAGAGGAATAAAAGTAATTTTGGTTGTCCATCACACAAATATTAAGTGAAGGGCTGGGGATGACAGGAACAGAACAATGTTCCTTGAAAATGTGTGCCTAATAAATCTGAGAGGAATTCATTTTATTTTCAAAAAATACAATAGGGGCCAGTGCTGTGGTACAGCAGGTTAATGCCCTGCCCTGAAGTGCCGGCATCCCATATGGGTGCCGGTTCTAGTCCCAGCTGCTCCACTTCTGATCCAGTTCTCTGCTATGGCCTGGAAAAGCAGTAGAAGATGCCCAAGTCCTTGGGCCCCTGCACCCGTGTGGGAAACCTGGAAAAAGCTCCTGCTCCTGGCTTTGGATCGGCACAGCTCTGGCCATTGCGGCCAATTGGGGAGTGAATCATCAGATGAAAGACTCCCCCCCCAACTTCTCTGTGTAACTCTGATTTGTAAATAAATAAATAAATCTTTAAAAAAACAATATTAATAATTGGATCAGGATAAATATCATATATAATAAAAATTATTAGAGATTCTCAGAAGCCTATCAGTCATATTAAACTTTCCATTTCTTTCAGAATAGTGATCTGTGTTTATGTTCAGTGACATTGCCTTACATGAACGTCATTTGAAAACTTCTCTATATAAGTTATATCTATATACTCTAGAATATTTTGTAATGCATTGGAATTACTTACACTTACACCATATCTAGGGGTAATAATAGCACAAACAACAGAGATTGTCATTAGGACTAAATGAGTTATGTAAAGCAAGAAAAACAAAATAGCCTGGCCCTTGTAAACACTCAATAAACATCACTATGACAATTAAATAATAAACCTGAATTATTTATAATGGAAACAGCTCTCTGAAGTTAGAGTTATGAAGTAACCAGAAATCCACAAGGTGGCTCTCAAGGCTTGGCTTTTAAACACTATGGAACTGTGTTTTAGCTTGAAAGAAATGAAATAAGACTTGGGATTACCAAGTTGACTTCTCAAAGACGGTTATAAATTTGAGATTTAGGTCTAAATTGAAAGAATCTGATGTACAGAATGCCTGGCAATAGCTTATCATACTCAGAATTTAAAACATAAATATAAATTGGTGAAATTTACACTACAGTCATGACAAATACATTTTACTAATTAATATGAAAGGGCCAGCAGCTGTTCAGTAAACAATTGGATAAATCTAAAGATGTTGAAGCTACTTTCAGTTTATGCCAACAGATTTTTTACTTTAATTTCAAAACTTATTTTCATAACTGGGGTAAATAAATTTTTTCTGAAAAGGGACAGAGAGTAACTTATAGACTCTGTCACAACTAGCCAATTCTGTGTTATACAACTGAAATGTGTATAAAATCACCTACAGATCCACTAAAACACAGATTCTTAGCAAATCTGGGGTGGGCTGCTAATCAGCTCTCAGGTGATCCCAATGCTTTCTGGTCCTCCGAGCTCACACTGAATAGTGAGGCAACTGTTTTCAAATGTATTGGTCTCAGAATCTCTTTATAGTCATAAGAAGTCTTTTTGTTTATTTAAGTTACAGCTGTCAATATGAGCTTTAGCAATTAAATGTGAGAAACTTAAACATTTTTCCATTAATTCTTTAAAATAACAATAATGAACCCATTAGATGTCAACATTTTTAAGAAATTTAACTGCATTTTATATTTTAATTATAAAGGGCAGGATGAAACACTTCAATTAAAGTGAAAGGGACAGAAATGATAAGTGACCTCAGCAGGACCTTTTCAAAGATCATTAAGTCAAGAAAAAAGTTAAGATTACAACATGATAAATCCATCTAATTATTTCTTGGAAACCAGAGATGGTGCATCTTTCACATATAAAATATCTGCATACATGGCACATATTGTGCTTTAGCTCATGTCCTCTTGCTGCCATTTGTTCCCTACCTGTTTTTCTGCATGTCCATATTCAGGTCCTTGGGTAGGTAAAAAGCAGGATATCTGGCCACAATTTTTTGCTCTTTCTATTAGAGACATGGCTGTTCTCACGGTAGCATTTCGAGCATGTACAAACACCATGACCTAAAACAGAGAACAATGGTATATTTAATATTCCAATCTAATCAATTACAGGTTAAATTAGCCTGAAAATCACGCTATATAAATAACCGTAAATTTTTCAAAATATAGTTCCTAATTTATGAATAATATTTTATTTTAAAACAAAATATTTAAGATAAAGCAATTTAAATAAAATTCAAGAACAAGACTTTCTTTTAGCCTTTTATAAACTGGTAAAAGTTAGAATTTAATGAATTCTACAAAATTTAGCATTTAATTTTTGCATTTTTTCTTTGAAGACAAGATTCACAGTCACAACTGTTTATTTCAGGGACAGAATATGGATATATGGAGAGGATGATTTCTCCTTTGATGATTTCTACACTGAATGAAATTTTCAGATACATAAGATGTTTAAAGAAATTCAAAGCAATAAAAAACAAACCTGTTTGCAAGAAATAATATCTAAAAACAAACACCCAAAATAAAGAGCTAACAGGACTATTGGAGAGGAAAATATCTGAGAAACACCTGAAATTTTGTGTTTTGGTAGGCTTTTCCATAGGACTGTTCACAAAGTGACTGCAAATCTGATCTCTCCGGTAGAGACATGCTGTCTGGATGCTTTGTCATGGAGAAGTGAGGTAGAAAGTACTTTCAGGGACAGTCACCAGGCAAGGTATGAATACAGTGGAAGAGGATATAATAATGGAGTGATCCCAGTGGTCTGCCTTTGCTGCCTATCAGTGCCTGCTTCCTCTCCCCAGGAATATTCCTTCTTTGGCTCCACCTCTTTGCTAAATCAGCTCAATCTCAGCCTTCCAAAGATCTGTCACAAGACACAAATAATTTTATTCTTTCATACAGATCAACAGTATTTCCCAATTCTTTATAGTGTGAATATGTGCAGCATTACACAACTTTGACACTGTTACCAAAATGAAATAAAAGATCTAAGGACAAGTATGGGTGTCATGAATGACAAGTTCTCTCCAGAGCTTCCAACCAAACTGACATCCCTTAGCATTTTCCTTAGGCCTGAGCCAGAGTTCTTAAATCTTGTCTTCCTAATACCTTAATATTTTTAAATTCTTCTTAATACCTCTTTATATTCCTCTGTTAATTATGTTTTTCTAGAAGGTACTACATTAACATTATTTACAAGCCTACATATCTAAAGGCTATGCAAGCAATGTTTTAGTCAGGGAATTGATAGGCTCATGTGAGTGGACCAATAGAAAAGGATAATTTTGAGGACTAGCAAACATGAAAAAGGGGATGAGACTGAGATTTGACAAGACTGGAGACAGGGGAACCTAAAGCACTGTTACATATTTAGTCAATAGCAATCCTATATTTATAAATTTGTCCACGTATCAGAAAGATTAAAATCCACAGTAGAGCAAAATCTCCAGTAACAATCACCCAAGAAACTGGAATGCTTAAATAACTAATAGTTTTCCAGGGTACAAAGTAAAAAGGAGAACAGATAATTTGGAGAAGATCATAATTTCCCCAAATGAAAAAACTTCCAAAGCGTAAAGAAGCATTGCAAGTCATAAGGAGATATTTAACATAAGTTAATCTCAGTCATCAAAGGCATAAAGATTGAGAATTCACATTTTAACAGAGCTCTAACTTATTTGCTGATACTGATGCATTTTGAAAAGAAATTTGATTATAAGACTATTTAAAATGAGTGTACTAATGGAGTTATTTCAGGGAGGTTTGCAAGTACTTGAAAGTTTCTTCTGTTTTCCTTACTTTCAAGAAGAGAAAACAAATTTGATTTGGATAGGCTCTCTAGCTTGCATGCGTCACATCTTTGCCATACAGGATGTTGAGAGACACCATTCAATTAAAAATTAAAAAAAAAAAAACAAATTAAAAAAGAAATTGTCTTTTAAGCTCAAGTTGTGGTTTTTTCATAATTACTCACTTGAGTTATTTAATGCCCCGTTGAAGCTTTATTAGTTCAGAATCTGTCAAACTCTACCATCTTATCTCTTGAAAAAGGTGGCACACACATTTGACTTTTCTTTTAATAGAAAAGGCAGATTTTTCCTCTTACATACATTTCATCATACATAAAAGCTCATTAACCCTCAACATTAAATTTTAAGACAATCTGAATAAAATATTTTTATCACCCAAATATTTTTGAGTACATACAATCAAGCCCTAAGAAAACTGTGCAAAAGAGAGACAAGGTCTCTGGAGCTAAGAATCCAGTATGATGGGTCAGGTAAAAACAAATATTTTATATCTGATAAACATTTACTGGTCATGTACGTGTAAAATACTGTTAAAAGGAGACATATGAAAATAGGAAAGACACAGTCCCTCCCATGCAAGTTGTGAAATAAGACTGAACAAACTGATGCAAAGTGTTGGGTGCAGAAGTCGTCACCACTCAGGACCACACTGCACATTGGAATGCCTAGTTTGAGTCCCTCTTCCAATCCAGTTTCCTACTAATGCATGCCTGGGAGGCAGCAGATAGTGACTCATGTACTTGGGTCCCTGCCACCTATGTGGGAGACCCAGATGGAAACCCAAAGCTCCTAGGTTCAGCCTGGTACCACCCTGGTGTGGTGAGTATTTGGGGAATGAGCCAGTGGATGGAAGATCTGTCTCCCATGTCTCTGCTGTTCGAATTTAAAAAAATGTAAAGAAATTTTCTCAAAAACTGTACAAATAATTTAGGCAGCTGAAACAAAGGATGAATGGAGTATGGATAAAGGGGGACTCTATAAACATTGAACTAGTGGGTCTCCATTTGCTCACTGAAAGATATTTTACAGAGTAAATATTTACATGCTGCTATTGTACGGACAACAGAAATACAATGATAACTATAATGCAAGGCTCCAAACTGGAACACTATTATGAGGTGAAAAGAATTACTAGGACAAACATCTTAATTGGCTGTAGAAGCAGCATACAGGTTGCACAGAGGAGGTTAAACTACTATTTGACATATTTAGCTTTGGTAACTTTAGTGTTAGCTTGAAGAAGCACATTCTCTTCCAAAGTTTCTTACACTGAGACCAGGAACTAATTCATCAGGATCCCTGCTGATGCTTGTTAAAACAGATTTCTGAGTCTTTCCCTAAAATCAACTGAACAAGACTATCAAGGGTAGGGTGCATAAGTTGAATTATTAATAAATGCTGAGATGACCACTGTACAATGTGTAAGTTAATAATTACCACCAACTTAACTTTTCTCCCCCAAAGTTTTAAGAACTTTAAAAGGAAACATAAATAAACACGGACTTTTAAAATCCAATACACTGTATATATGTTTTGAACTATTGTACTATGCTTATACATATGTACAGATATGATGTATCATGTAGGCATTTGGTGAAGTGGTTAAGTCACCACTTGGGATGCCTGCATCCCATGTCACAGTGCCTGGGTTTGGGTCTTTACTCTCAATTCATGGTTCCTTCTATGGAAGGAGGCATTGGTGATGGTTCAACTACTTGGGTCTCTGTTATCCCTGTGGGAGACTAGAAATGAGTTCTGAGCTCCTGACTTTGGCCCTGCCCAGCTCCAGCCATCAGGAGGAGTTGGAGAGTGAATCCGTGAGTAAGGTCTCTGTCTCTCTTCATTTCAAATAAAATAAAATTCTGCTATACATCAAACTTAAAAAAAGGAAAAAAAATTGTGTGCTAATAAAAAAAAAACCAGAAAAAAATACCGAATAACTTCTTATAATCTATCTTCATTTGTCTATACCTATGAATTATTAGCAAATTTTAAGATATTTTATATAATCAGTATGGCCCCGAGATCATTTCCCAGATGGGCCAGGGTATTATAATACTACTAGATTTCTATTCTCTATAATTCAAATGCCACATTATGTAAATCTGGTTGAAATAACAGATATAGAGAACATAAGGGAAAATAAAATATGATCCTAAACCTTCATTAATTATTGCAGTCTGACTTGTCTACTTATCATTTTGTAAATTATTTTCTACAGTAGCCAAGAGAAATATTACTTACAACTTTAAGTAGCAATCTCTTTTTATTAAAGTATCCATCATGTCTTGTTCAGTAAAAGAAACTATTTTTCTTATTAAGAATTTTCTGTGTGGAGGCTCCAACAGAAGTCATTACAAGGTTTTGGGTGACCATAAACATATCTGATTTTATGGTTTGTTAATTTGGTTAATTAATTTAAATAGACTTATATGGAAATTATAGCAGAGAGGATGGTATTGTTTCATAACTCCAAAATCATCTTAGAAATACTTTTGGTAACTGAGAAGCAGTTAAATGTGCATATGTCATTGAAATAAAATTGGAATTGTAAGATCACGTTAAAAATGATGTTGAATTTAAATTAGATTGTTTTATAAGCTGTTTAAGCTTTTGTCTGAGGTTAGGGTATACATTTTAAAATATTTTACATGGCTATTTTTAGTTTAAAAATCATTTAATTTCAAAATGTATGATGGAACCAGCGTTGTTCCAGCAAATAAAGTGTATGAATTTCAGTTCTGGTCTTAATTATTTGAATTCTCAAAGAAACTGTTCTTCATATAAGATGCTGACTTAAATTAATGAAAGAGTAAATATTCAGATAATAACTACTGAAAAAAGTGGAAGGCTTAAGTCACTGATATTGTGTCAGACTGTATTCAAAGGAAAGGACTACGTAAAAAACCAAAAATTCTACTTTAGGCACTCATACATACCAGTGTGATCTAGGATAAATTATTTCACTTTCTCAATTCTTAATTCCCAAAAGGCATAGATAATGATATCATGTATCTCAGGATTACCATAAAGATCAAAGGATATCATGGAAGTGAAAAGATACATTTAGGAAGCCAATGGCTTCCAATTATAGAAAGCTTCAACAGCACCTGGCTCTTTTGTTAAGTATACAGATTACTGATTCTCTGCCCTGATCAGGTAGGTCTGGGACAAGCCAAGAGATTACATTATTAAGAAGTTCCAAGAAGTGCTACTACTCTTTTCTGGGAAAACTGACTATCTGTC